CGTTATTCAAGGTATGTATGAGCAGATGTGTCCGAAGTGGATAAACAAACGCTCGACAGATAAAAACTGCCTCTGATGTGGATATTCAAACGTAGCAACTGTAAAAATGTAAAATGAAAATGAATCATAACGGACTAGATATTTTATAATCTTGGCAGCGTGTCCATTCAGTCAATAACCAACGTAGAACTGTTGTTGAATTGATATTTCCGTGACAGTTTGTTTATAAAATTTTACCACCGTATTCTCAATTTAAAATTTAAAGAACAGGATATATATAAAGCCGTCTTTAAGGATTTATATGTGGAACTGGATGGGAATTATTTCAAATGTTGTTCAATACGCTATAAAAGCGCTGCTGACTTTTTTGACAGGAACCATTTGATAAAATATGGATTTATGACATTTGACCTATTTGATGAGTTCTTTTTTTCCTTTACCTTTTTTATGTAAGAAATAAATAATTCTGTTATTCTAGAGAAACACCCGTCAGAGGTGACACTAAAATCAATTACAGGTAATCTGTCAACAAGATAATTTGGAAATGTGTCTACTAACGACGAATAACTACTAGACTAATTGTGCTTACGAAAATAGAATTAGGCATTCCAAACTGAATAGCTACCAGTGGGTTTTGACGGGTTATGATATGGCAAAATTATGGCAACCCTGTAGGCCTGGTGATTTGACAAGGTCAAGATAGTTATATAGATTGATTATCCATATTTTTCAAAATAAACATAAGCGTATGCCTTGAACTAAAAATGTAAGCAATTATTTTTTTAAATATCTAAAGGCTAAAAATTGGTTTTAAAACACATTTTTTCTAAACCGATTCAAATTAATAAATATTTGCCAGGCAATATGGGCGCTCGTAAACGACTAGCTTTGAGCAATCTATATAACTATATATGTTAATGAGAACATGACAACAGGTTTGCCATATCTAAACTGTCATTACCCACTGGTAGCCATTTGGACAGGTCGTTGGAATGCCTAATTGCATACATTCACGGTGTTACCCACGTAGTTGTCAAAATTTGACATTTAATCATTATGAGGGAGTATATGATAGTTTTGTTACAAGGTTTGTGTATGTTTATATTTCGGTATTGGCTTAACGTAAGGCTCTAAAACGTACCAAAAGCTTTAAAAATTACATAAATGAAGTATATTTGCATTCCTAATGCCAATTATTAATTTATTTTCTCTCGTGGCAACTATCATAGTTGAAGATGATTTTCAGGAAAGTACACAATTACTTTTAAAGCTTTATAGCAGTGTAAAGCAAGCGTCGTAGACGTAAGTACTGATTCATTCATAAAAAGCATGCTCGCTCCTCAGATAAATAAACTCGCATAAACCATTCCACTTAAATTAGCAGCCGTCTTGATTTTCTAATACGCAGCCAATGTGACAACTGTTTGCGTATTATAATGATTGCATAAATAAGAACCTAATTAAGAAGAATTTATTAGGCTAACAGTTTTTCGTCGTTGGTAACAACGCATGTTTAATGATATGTAATCAACATTGAATATATTACAATCAGTTATACATGTCTGATAGTATACAGTATCGGCTATTAAACGCTTTCCAATACGCTTTGTATACGCTGTATACAAAAAGGAAATTTGTAAAAATGAAAAAAACCATTACGTTGATTTTTCCTATCTCGTTAGCGAAACACTTTGTATAAACTTTTCAATCCATCCATTAATGACAGTTTGTTGAGAAACCCGAATTATCACATTTTATCTATGTAATGCGTACATTTTTAAGAATTGGAAAAATGTACTCACCAGTTATCTTATCTACAATTTTCTTAAATAAGATTTGATTTAAAATTTATTTTTATTCGTTTTAAATAAATAAATAATTGTTATTTTCTGCAAAAGTACGAAGTTCGTTTCTATAGATAAAAAATATACAATTTCCTTTAATTTTTTTTTAATATGATATTCGAGTTTCTTAGAATTTAACAACAATAAAACAAAAATAATATTCGAATAAGGAGTCAACTATTGTTTCAAACAAATATAAGAATATTTAATTAATAGGAATATTACACCCTGTTTACACGTGGTAGCTATAAACTGAATAATAAATGATTAGCTCATAAAATTGGTAATTATATTGGGTACTGATTCTTATGTTCATAAGAATGCATTATTCTAAAAGAAACAAATTAATTTCCTATTGGTTTGTATAATTATTCTACCCTGCTAAGACAGGAGGTCGTATCTACAAAAAATCCAATTTCAACATTTTTACACATTTGGTAAGCTTACATACAATGTATTTTATTATGATACGAAGTTACAAATATCAATATGTTCATCAGAAAACATTGACAATTATATACGGGGTCCCTACTATAGATACAGATAGAAACTTGGTTAAAATAGATAAAAACAAGCACGCCAAATCACTCCGTAGTTTGAAATAGAGCAAACAAATTTCTTATTGACATGTGTGTCATGTTTTATTTTCATGCAAACTAATATCTGTTTTTAATAATTTGTTTCAATTTTTAACTACCAAATAGCAATTATACTATGTTTTAACATAAACGAACAAAATATGCCAAAGCTTTCGGTAAATAAATATAAGCTCAAATTCCTAAAAAATCATGTGATCAACATTTACATCCTCGCGCACGTATATCTGAGTAAAACTGAACTGACTGACAGTAAAATATGTAAAATTTCCATAACCAATCATTATAAAAATGGAAAATAAAGACAAAAATAGTCCTTTTCACAAGGAAAAAGATGAAAATGGAATTAAAACCTCCAGAACTCCTAAACACCAAACTAAACTTTGCAACAGAGGTGAAGTACCTAGGTATCACCTTTGACAGAAAGTTAACATTGCTTATGAACAATGCCGCCGAACCGTGGGGCGCACCTGGCGCAGTCGTCGCATGGACTTACACGGATATCATAAGACCTATGCTTTTTTTTTCTCTCTCTCCTGGGCTCCTCTGACTATGTGTCTACGAATAACACTGAAGCCTACTGGTTTATTGTGTTTTACCCCATGTTAGTTCATAGCACCCACTCTATCACCTTTGTACCTTGTACAAGTTTGTACAGATCCTTGGGTGAGTGGGTTCTATACGTTGTTGGATCAACCTGGGGTTGTCCAAAAAGAGCCTGTCTTTTGCGATCTGGAGCTTCGCATTCGCTCAGTATGTGTTTGGCCGTTTCTGGTTTCTTGTGACATAGTTGGCACATGAGTTCCCCATTGTACATGCCAATTTTGTTCAAGTGTCCCTTTACTGGGGCGTGCCCAGTCATGAACCCTGTTATCACTTTCAACTGGTTCCTATTCATTAAGAGTAGTTCTCCAGTTCTTTTGGGACATGGTCTGCCTATGAAGGCTTTTCCATGTGCCTGTTTTGGGGTGCTTACATACGGTGCAGTTGTCTGGGTACCGAAAACCCAAAAATTAACAGCAATTTGTAAAATAGAACAAATTCAAAGAACAGTATGACTCAACATAACAGGAGCCATGAAAACAACACCGACCAGAGCGATGGAAGTAAATCCTAGTCTCACTTCCTTTGATATTTACATTAAGGATAGAATAGAATCTGTTGTAGGATCTGGTTAGGCGAGACGTCACTTTTGGCAGGCGGCTCGATACGCTCCCACTGCTTCAAGCGAACATGGACTCCATCTCACCGAGATATGTCTTCGATAAGCCATATAAAGTTATAATAGAACAAATAGAAGGGCCAGAAGTAGCAGGTACGATTCACATCTACACCGACGGTTCGTAAACAAAACAAGGCTCAGGATGTGGAATATACTCCAGATTCTTAAACCTAAACATAAAATGGGCTTTAAACAATAGTGCCAGTGTAGTTCAAACAGAGCTAACGGGGTGAGTCTCATAGCAGCAAAAGAAATAACCAGAAACAATATCTCTGGAAGGAACATGCTCATCTATACAGATAGCAGACAAGCACTACTCGCCCTGAACAGACCACAAATTTATTCAGAGGTAGTACTAGAATGTCAGGAAGCTTTGGCCGAAGTATCCATCAATAATTTGGTCACCTTAAGATTGATCAAAGGCTACGCCACTAGCCAAGAAAGCAGCCAACCAAATACTTTTTGGACCTGGCCCTTTTATTGGCCTGACCAAATCGGTAGTGATAGAGCTAATTAAAGAACATTCCCTTGTGAAATTCAAGGAAAGATGGGATGAAACAAGAAACTGCAGAGTTACCAGAAAGCTTTATCCTGACAATACTGCAGCAAAAAAATACTATGACTAGACAGAATCTGCGCCTAGTCACAGGCATTCTGACTGGTCATTGCCAAGTACGGAAGCATCTCCATATCATGGGGCTGTCAGAATCCGCATTCTACACAGGGGTGCGAACAAGAAGATGAGACCATCGAGCATATCCTTTACGATTGCCCGACGCTCTCATTTATTAGAAGATTTGTGTTCGGCGAGTATCGGCTAACACCGGCCAATATAAGAGAAGCACCTTTTGGCAACGTTGTCAACTACATTAAATCTGTAGGCTGGCTTACGAGCTAGGAGATGCCTATAATCTTAGGAGGATGCACAATGGGCCTAATGAGGCCTAAGTACCGTGGGGGTAGCCCATTCTCTACACGTTATAGATACAGATACTATAAAAATGGAAAATGAATGACCTGTTAGTACATAAATGCTTTTAACCATATAAATGTTATTTTTTGTATCAACCAACATAGTCATCTTGGATAACAACCATATGTTAACAGAGTGTATAGTACCTATCCAATATTATTATTTGGCCGACAACTCATTACTAAACTAATGATTTGAAAATACACCGAAAAAAGTTTACTTGCAAGTATGTTGGAACATTCTGTCATTTTGATTCTCATTATTATTAATTTGAAATACATTGATCAAACAAATGTTTATAGCTATCTAACAGATAACAAACTCTTCATTCGAAACCATTTTTGAGTTAAAATCAGAATATTTACCAGCTTTTTGTGCTGCCCATCCTCCTGCCGGTGGTGCTGGAAGTGGCACAGGACCTGAAGCACTTGAATGACCAGGCATCGGAGGTGGTGGCGGCATTCCGGACTTTTCAGATGGAGCCACTAGTACAGGGAATGGTATACCAGGCATTGGTGGAGGGAGTGGCATACCAGGCATTGGGGGAGGAGGTGGCATACCAGGCATTGGGGGAGGAGGTGGAACACCAGGAATTTGAGAAGGGGGAGGTATAACAGGCATTGGTGGAGGAGGAGGTGGAATACCGTTTATTGGTGGAGGGTGTGGAATATCAGGCATTGGTGGAGGAGGTGGTGGCATACTAGGCATTGGTGGAGGAGGTGGCACACCAGGCATTTGTTGAGGAGATGGTACACAAGTCATTGAAGGAGGGTGTGGTGTACCAATAATAGGTGACGTAGGAGTCATAGGTGGTAGTGGTGGTGGTTTAGGAGGAGAATGAATTGTAGATGGATACATATGTGTAGCCAGCATTGAAGAAGATACAGGAGATGTAGATCCATCTACTCTTGTTATAAGTAATCTAGTATAACATTCTTCACATGAGGTAGATCTTGAGACGGTTTCAGCTTTAGTTTGAACTTCTCGAAATTCTGTTTGCGTTGAGACATCTAATTTTATTTGTCTGGTCGTTAATGAGTTTTCATTGTATTTATTTTCTTTGGTCGGCGACACTACGGGAGAACTAAAATCTATCACAGCATTCTTCGTAAGGGTTTGTATTTCCACCAAAGTTTTATATTTTTCTATTTCTTGTTTCAATCTTTGTATTTCTTCTTCCAATGCCAACATTTCCACATCTCGAGCGGAATTCGTGAATTCTTGCGGCTTCAGAACAATTTCGAATTCTGGCGAAGGAGTAGTTAAGTGTTCGTTTTCGCATGGAGAAATAACATTTTCTGATGGCGACATAGGTGGCCAAGATAGCATACTAATCCTGCCTGGAGTTTGAGGAACTGCCGCTGGTACTTCTGAATGTGTCCAAAAATAAATACAATCTGGCTAAAATTAATTCATTATTAAGAATGTACCTTATTAATAGATAATGAAACAAGATTATTTATTATAGGATCTAATAGCTACGTGATAATACAACGTAAATGAGTAAATATACAAACCTTAAAAATGTTGTACATGGGAACGTCCTTATCAGGTAGTTGTTTTAAAACTCCGGCAGCCAAAAGATGTGTACAGAATTGCACTGCTAATAATTTTAAATCATGGTTACTAAATTGGTTGCTAATTTGGTTTTTGCCAGTAAATTCAGATAAATACCAGTTCACCAACATGTGACCTGAAATTAAAAATAAAATAGGTAATTATTATGACAAGAGTAAACAAAATAAAATATTTTAGATAAACGACAGTAAAATTTAATTACAAGGCGAAGTTAAATTGGACTGAACAGTTTTCTCATTTAAATGATTAATACTTTAAAGAAGCAAAATTTGTGGAACTTTCTGTTTACATTATGGCATTCTTTATTTTAACTCCTTTTTTATTGCTATAATTGCTGGCACGATTAAACCACTTCTCTCTCACTTTACCTGAATTAAAATTAATAATAGTTTTAGTATAATGCACGAAAAGAAACGGTATAGTATCGATGTTGCTATTCCAATCACCAATCATGACCTGTGAAAGTATATGAAGCGAATCATAAAACTGCTTGGGATCTTTTGCGAACGGTTCGATAATAAACGTATTATTAATCATGCCACAGTAAACAAAAGGTTTAAGAAATCTATTAGACGAATATTTTAAACATATTTGGGCATTACAAAACTTAAATTTAGGACCCACTATTTATTTATTTTATATCAAACTCGATGCAATCACTAAGCGAGAATGGGAGTCATCCATTACTAAAAAGGAATTTTCAAAGACTAACGAATTTATTTCTTATTTAAAAACTAAATACCAAGTTTTAGAATCTTTAAGTTTTAATCAACTAACGTCATTGATCAAATACAAAAATAAAATGCAGAGTTCGCAGCACTCAAAAACAGTATCACATCTATCTCAAAGATGTCAATGCTACTTTTGCAAAGGCTCACATTATATATATTCGGTTGTGCAAAGACTTAACAGTTGATCAAAGGCTAGCAGAAACCAGACATTTGCATTTATGTACAAATCGTCTTAGGTCAGGGTACAGTAATCCAGAATGTTTATCAAAATCTCTTTACAAATGCTGTAATAAAAGACACAACTCTTACTTTATTTAAAGCAAAATGCGCAAACAACACAATGGTTTAATACCAAAAGATTTAAACTCAAGCACACAGACCCAATTATTCATACTCCATTTAATCACAAACATTACCTAGCTCATCTTTCACTTTAGTAAAATATAGTTCACAATCAACACTTCATATTTTACTTTCTACCACAATCATTCATGTTCTGAATAAGCACAATAATTATGTACCATGTATTCCGATAGTAAGTCAAAATTTATGACACTTGATTTTTTTAAACAATTATGTCTTCCGAGAGAAATAACACTATAAACAAGGTACAAACATTAATCAAATCACTTTATAATGCATACAAACAAGGCCGCTAATTTCACATTCTAAACAAATGAAATTACAAATAAAAGCGCATCTTTAAGGAGTAACATGCCTATTTATATTTAAGTTACCGTATACTGTTTAAAATATTTGCAACAATACAGAGGATACCACATAATATTACAGGGGACACATAGTACAGTGGCGTAGAATATTAATTAAAATGCAATAAGTAGTTCAGTGTTGGTTAAACCTAAAAGATGGTGATATTAATTTAGATTAATAAAAATGCAGTACAGTTTTTACTTGAGAAGTCAACACTGGTTAAAAATAGTACACATAGAAAATGTTTGATTTTTGTTTCAGAAACTTGTAGAAGAATTACAAACTATCAGTAAAGTAACATGGTCAATAGAAAAGACAATTCAAAAGGAAAACGCAAGAAACAATCTGTTTAAGCGAATTTATTATTGTCACTTCAATACAAGACGAAGAAAAAATACCAAGGATTTAAAGAAAAAAAGCTCAAGAAATATCAATTGTCCAGCAAAATTAATTTTAACTTTAAAGAAAATCATTCCTATGTCCAAGTCTAAAGCTAACAATTCATTGAATAAAGTCGACATAGAATATCCTTGTTTATTAGAATTTCGGAACAATCACAATCATAGATCCGATGTGGGAGAAGCTCTACATACCAGACCTTTGGGAGAAGATACAAAAAAGGCTATACTTGAGTTATTTTAAAGAGGGCATTCTGTAGCATCCGCTTATCACACGTATTGCACCACGAAAATGGAAGAATTGGGTGATGAGTATAGCGATAAAATAAGCAATCGTCATTATTTTCGACAAAAACCGATGTGCGAACACTCTGGACTAGTAACTTCAGACAGCAATATGGCGAGCGCAGTGGTCCAGAAATGTTAAAGAAGTTGGAAGATGTGTTAATGTCGGAAAATGAAAAAAATGGGACATTGTTCAAAGTATGTACTCTCGGCGAAAATCATTCCATTGCAATAAGTACCCCCATAATGCAAAAAACTTTAAAATTACCTCAAGCGTCGGAAATCATATTTGTAAACGCAACAGGAAATTGTGATGTTCAGGATCACAAAGTATATTTTTTTGTCACACAGTCTCCTGTTGGAGGTTTACCGATTGGGTGTATTATAAGTAGTAATCAAAAAAAAGAAATATTTCAAGAAGCGGTACAAGCTCTGCTATATATATATATATATATATATATATATATATATATATATATATATCTCCCGTTAAAATACAACTATCTGTCATAATGACAGATGACGACTTAGGGGAAAGATACGTCCTACAGCAATGTTTCCCACATTCGAAAATGCTCTTATGTACATTTCATATCTTAAAAGCATGTTGGCGTTGGCTTACTACTGCAAAAAATAGAGTTCCTAAAACGCACAATCAACGTTATTACCAGTTATTCCGAAATATTTTATATTCAGACTCGAAAGATAAGCTTGATGCAGTAAAGAAATTATTAAATGAACAATGTCAACATCTTAACTTTCTTAAATATGTAGAGAACATGTATTTGCGAATTGAGACTTGGTGTTTGTTTTATAGACGTAATTTGTTATTGCGCGGTTCAGACACAAATAATTATACGGATGGAATGTTCCGATTACTGAAGGATATGCCTTTAGAACGTACAAAGGCATTAAATCTTACCCAATTAGCTGATTTCATTTGTACTGGATTTGAAAGATATTATCAACAACGAATTCTTGATATTGTCTTAAAACGTGAAAGTAAAGCAATATAAGAGAGATATCTGCCAAAACAGTTAGTGGAAAATGCGAAGCTAAAAGACATAGGAAATCATCAATATGAAGTTGTAAGTTTTTCTAAGCCTGATATCATTTATCACATAGATATGATAACATGCATGTGTAGTTGTCCCGTTGGATATAACGGAAAACACTGCAAACATCAGGCTGCAGTAATTTCAAAATTTGGCATTTTAAATACAATAAATACTCTAACCCTCGAAAATAAAATATTGTTTTATCAAATTGCTACCGGCAAAGAACCGAAAAAGACATTATTTTGTCCACTACAGTCACCTGGAACTATAGAGACCTGTTTTACACCAGAATTAATTAGTCCCAATGAAGTGGATCCTTCTACGATAGAACCAGAGCCACTGCAAGAAATTAACGTGGTAAAAAACTTGGCCTCGGATATTGAAGCAACAATGACTGCATGGTTGGAATACAGTAATACAATTTTGCAGCATCTTAAAAATGATCCGGAACAATTCTTACCAGCTGTCAATCGACATTTGGATAATTTCAAAAAATATGCTATTTCTGTACCATCTTTATTATCAGGTCTGTACACATTATATAAGTACAAAGGAGCAATCAAAATACAATCGGGCAACATTCATCCTAAAATTGTAAGAAGAGGAGTAAAAATTAGCGTTCAGCCAACAGCCTTTTCCAGGCGAAAAATTAAAATGTGTGGCAAAAGAAAACTCGTAGGAAGACCTTCTTTTAGCAGCAAGAAAAGCAGTGTAAGAGCTCCGCATTCACTCAATTTATGTGTAGAAAACAATCGTGGTTTGGGATCCAACAAAGCCAAAAAGTAAATCGCTTGTGCTCACTTATAAGTATTCTTTATATTCATATCTCATATAAATAAAGCATTATTATTAAATTTGGTATTTTGTTTTCTTCGTATTATCGCACTTCGTATCCAAAATCTGAAATATCAGTTAAATTAAATCGAATAGAAAAAAACAATTTCGACACTAAGAAACTTTTTAAGTACCTCCTGCTAAAATTTAATATTTTTTTGTTAATACAACTATTAAAATTTACTTGATTGAATAAAATTTTACAATCTATGACAATGTACCCTAACAATTCATATCGGGAAATGTTAAAAAAATGTCCTAATGCCAAAATTGATTTTTTATAATTCGATTGAATTTAACTGATACTTAACTTATTTGTTGATTGTATGTAACAGTCACAACGTTCACATACTTTGATTACTATACGGGGTTAGAGAGAGGTCCGACACGCCCAACACAGGGCGCGGCCATTTTGAACCCTATGAAACAGTTTATAGCTAAAGAATCAGATCGCTCACTCTGCGTCGGCACTTTTTATCTCAATGTTCCAGTTTATACACTGCGCAACTGACAGATTAAAACGACTAAACCGACAATTCTGGAAGCAGAAGCGGATGATTAAAACGCACCTGATATTTTGCTTGCTGCTGTCAGTGTCAGTGAATATTATTTTTGAAGTCACAGTTTATTGCTAAAGAATCAGTTAGCTCACTAGGACCAGTTAAAAGTTCCAAAATAACATCCACTCCAGGGATACAAATTCAGGATACGCAGAAGACTGCTGATTTATTATAGGCGGTTGTCATATATTGTATTATCCGAGTTGCACAGTGTATAAACTGAAACATTGAGATCCAAAGTGCCGACGCAGAGTGAGCGATCTGATTCATTAGCTGTAAACTGTGTCACAGGGTTCAAAATGGCCGCGCCCTATGTTGGGCGTGTCGGACCTCTCTCTTGCCTTGTATAGTAATCAAAGTATGTGTTCTAACCTGTCAGATTAAAACAAGAAAACCGCCAATTCCGAAGCAGAAGCGGATGATTAAAACGCACCTATTAAAAAAATTGCGCCAAGATGTAGGCAACACGTAATAAGGGTTCAAAATGGCGGAGTTTTCTATCTCGTTTTAAAAGGCACTCTGAAAGCTGCGCAGTGCG